TAAAATACGGGCCCGATACCATCACGATCACACACCATTTCATTTCCAGAAGTCCTTATATTTTCCAGCAAATAATTTTCTTTAAAAATTCTTTTCTCGGGCTAGGAACCTCGGAATTCGATTCCGGGCATACGCCCAAGTCCCATATTTTACTACGGACCCTACGAAGACCGTCAAATTACGGGTCCGGGCCGTTTACCAAAAATGTTGACCGAAGTCAACTTTAACCAATTTTAAAGGCCAAATTCAATATTTTTCTGAAATTTCACATAAAAGCTTTCGGATACGCGCCCGGATTGCGCACACAAATCGAAGAGAAAGAAAATGAGGTTTTCAAGGCCTCGGAACCCATATTCGGGTTCTAAAACAAAAGATGACCCTTTGGTTCATCACATCTATCCAAACATGCAGGTAATTGCTTATTCATAATATCAGCTCTAATACTTAATTAGGAAGCAGGAGTCTCTAAATCAATATGTTACCTATTAGTTTGGTGTAGCTTTGAGTTCATACGATAGTTAACGAATGTATTATATTTATTGAGAATATCTCTACATTTGTTCGTCCTAATTCCAAGCATTGACAATAATAGTACTAGCTAGCAAAGATAACACCAAGACGAAAATATGAATGCTAACAGTAATCTGCATTAGTAAAACCTAAACTGTAAAAGATGGAACAATTCCAAACAAAGAAAGTCCTATTAACTTTACTTTTCATCCCATTTCTCCTTTCTCCACTTCAAACAATCAATTCTCCAAATAATTATTGTTCAGAGCCAACTATTTGACCAAAAAAATATATAGATCTTGGTTCAAATAATTAGATTTATGTAAATAAGGGTTAGTCTTAGCTGATAATAATATTCTTAGATGAGGTTATTAAAGAAGCAATAAATATTACACAAATATGGTCGGTCAATAACAGTGATGCGCAGTAAGCATTCCACGAATCAGAGATGATAGTGTTGCATTTAATAACAATGAATATCAATAAATGACATTTAAGTAATTAGAGGGAATGAGTCACCCAAGAAAGAGATGGAATAAATAGATGTTCTTCCTGACAATGATGAATGATAGACAATCCCTTAAATATTCGAGTTTGCCATGACCCAGAAATCCCGCCCTCGGGCCCGTGATGGCACCTAACATTTCACTTGCTAGGCAAGCCAATGTTAGAATAGTTTATCTATTTTCTTATACAAATCAAATTAAATAATAATAAAGAATCGAAATAACTGAAATAAATTTTGAAGTAAAGTGCGGAAAACCAAAATAACTGAAATATCTCATACAGCCCCGAATCTGGTATCACAAGTACACGAGCTACTAGAAGTTCTACAAATAGAGTATGAAATAAATACAAATGTTTCGAATGAAATGAACAGTAAAAGAGGAAAGAGGAAGGGGACTTCAAGGTTTGCGGACGTCAGCAGATCTACCTCAAGTCTCCGAATGATAGTCCGGGCTAATGCACCTCACGTACAGCTGGGACTAGTACCAAAATCTGCACAAGAAGTGCAAAGTATAGTACGAGTACAACCGACCCAATATACTCCATAAGTGTCGAGCCTAACCTCGACGAGGTAGTGACAAGGCTATGACAGGACACTCACGTAATTAAACCTATACAAACATAGATATACGTACCAAACAGCAACAAAATAGAGATTTAATATGTACAGTTGGGAGAGGACATGCGAAAGGGGGAAAAGATACGATAACTACAATAGGAAAGACAACACAGACAGTCAATAATTGACCAACCAAAGAGGACGAATAATAGACGATATGAGAATGGCACGGCATCACCCTTCGTGCTTTTACTCTCATCCTCACCATGAAATGATGTCATAAGAGAAATGAAATGGCACGGCATAACCCTTCGTGCTTTTACTCTTAATCTCACCATATAACACTCAATAACTGATATAGGTTGGCACGACATCACTCTCCGTGCTTTAATTCTCTTCCTCACCATGTATTAATCAGTAAATAAGGAAATGAAGTGACACGGCATTACCCTTCGTGCTTTAACACTCTCTCTTACCACGTATTAATGGATATAAAAATTCAGGAGAAAAATAAGGCAAAGGATGTACTTTACGTCAATACTTATTCCAAGATACCAAACCTCAACTTCCAAAATGCTCAACCATCACAATTAATCCATAAATACGGAAGGAACGATCAAATAAGTAATAATCTAATCTAAGCATAGATATCATAATTAAATAGACAATAAATCACACGGAAACAAGTTATACCAGCATGCTTTAACCCAACAACAATGCATAAATACTCGTCACCTCACATATACGTCGTACCCACACATTAAACACGCAACAAATAGGCAAACAAGTCTTAATCCCTCAAGTCAGGGTTAACCACGATACTTAACTCGCTCCGCAACCAATTCAAAGTTCAACTATGGTCTTGCCTTTCGAGCAAGCCTCCGAACCAACCAAATCTAGAAAATTATCAATCAAACGATTCAAAATAAGCCTTAGAAACTACCCACGAATGAAAGATATTAATTTAGATCATTATTGAAAAAGTCAACAAAAGTCAACCCCGGACCCGCTTGGTCAAAACCCGAGGTTCAGACCAAAACCCGATCATCCATTCATCCTGGTTATGCAATTCAATTCGAAATTCGACCTCAATTTGAGGTCTAAATTCCAATTTTACAAAAATTCCTAATTCATCCAAACCCCTAATTTCTACCATAAAAATTCTAGATTGAAATCTTATGGAATATAATGGGTAATTGAAAGAAAGTATATTAAATTCACTTACCAATGAATTGAGGAAGAAAAGCTCTTGGAAAAATCGCCTCTAAGGTGTTTAGGGTTGAGAATTTGAGAGAATGAGCTAAAATCCCGTCTTTCTCAGCTTTTGATCATGTGCAGATGTCGCGATTGTGAACCCCGCAAATGCAAGAAAGCCTTCGTAAATGTAAAGAATTTACACCTCTGCCGCCATCGCAAATGCGAACAATTTGTTCGCAAATGCGGGGCTCGCATTTGCGAGCCAGACCTCGCAAATGCGAGATCTGCAGACAACACCAGAGCACACAGGTACCAGCTATTCCTCTAAGTCCAAAACCACTCCGAAGCCTATCCGAAACTCACCTGAGCCCTCAGGGCTCCAAACCAAACATGCACACAAATTCAAAAACATCATACGAACTCGCTCTCGCGATCAAAACACCAAATAATACCTAGAACTACGAATCGGACACCAAAACGAATGAAATTTTCAATGAAACTTAAGAACTTTCAATATTTCGACCGATCAATCCATTTTGCACCAAAATTTGCAGACAAGTCGTAAATACAGTAATGAACCTACTGCAAGTTTCGAAACCAAAATTCGGACCCGGTATCAACAAAGTCAAACTTCGGTCAAACTTATTAATTCTTTAAACCTTTAAAGTTTTCAATAAATTGCGATAATTCGAGCTAGGGACTTCCGAATTCGATTTTGGAAATACGTCCAAGTCTCAAATCACGGTACGGATCAACCAGGACTTTCAAGACACTGATCCGAATCCGTTTGCTCAAAACGTTGATCGAAGTCAACTCAAATGAGTTTTAAGGTATGATTTTACATTTTTATCAAATTTTGACATAAAAACCTTCCGAAAAAAGACACGAATTGTGCAAGCAAATCGAGGAAGGCTAAATGAATCTAATCGAGGTTTTGAAACATATAATTTAAGGTTAAAACTTTAAATGATCCATCGATCATCACAGAGTTATTCTCGAATCTAGTGAAAAAGTATGGGCAAGAATCTCAGTGAAAAGGTGATGTTTGTATCTTAGCAAGTGAGAGCCGAATCGTTTAGTCAAAGTGTGTTCTTTACGAATGAATATCACATGTCCCCTATCATTGTCTCTTTTTCTATTTGTATGGGACATGTTCCTAAGAAACCCTAATAGTACAAGTGCAGAGAATATCTACTAGAATATTTTCTTTAGTATCCTATCTTGAAAACTAGCCGCTACAGCTCTATCAACGATACTCGACCTCGACTCTTGCTGACACCTCGACTATGGCTCTCGTTGACTCTTCGACCACAGTTTTGCTGCTTCTCGGGCACTTTCGATAAACGATGACTTGTGAACTATATTCCCTTAGTATTATCTTGGCTTAAATATTCTAAAGACATATTTTGACCCAAACACCAACATCATTTCATTGGGTGATCAACTATAATACGAGGATTTACCAGTTTGTTTTATAGTGTCAGCTTGACTTACTTTGCTAGTTTTCTATACTTCTGAAAATGAAGTCCTACACATCTTTCTCCGAAAAAAGACATCTTTTAATTTCCACACACAAAAGAAAGACTTCTTTTTCCAGTCTACTTCCATCATTCGATCGACTACCGAATTGTGAGACTTACAGGTTTGTCTATTAGATGTCAAGTTGACTTTATTAATGAATTAAACTTCTATGCACTCACAGCTTAAATTTTTTTTTTTTTAAAACTATTCGGTCGCTTTAAATGATGACTATTGGTAACATGTTTTGCAGATCAGTGAAGCCACAATTTGAAGTTTATGAGTTCGAGATGATAGTTCATAAGTTACTGGATCTAAATTAATAATTTGTATATATTTAATGAATTTCTTAAAATAAATATATTGTTTGGATCAAAGCAATTGGATTCGACCAAACTCGTATCTGCCATTGCTATCTCCACGTAAATATATTTACACGATCAGTTCACTTAATTATAAAGTGTCCTTAATAAGTGGAACTAGTTACTTCAAAGTAAGACAATCAATTGAGAAAGAAAAACTTGTTATTTTTAACTCTTGGAGTCAGGAATTCCATAAACCGTACAAGTCTTTTCTATTCGTTTATCAACTTATTTATGTGTCGGTTTTTTAAATGTTTACACTGTCAGTCTATATATTTAAATAATTATTTGTTGATTTCTATGTTTTTCGAAATTAGTTCAACCCTCTTCTATATAATTAGCACGCATCCACCAAACTTAATTAGCAGCCTAACACATCTAATTAAGTTCTTAGTACGAACAAGGTAAAAATAAGCATCCATCCATGGATTCTTTTGATCCCTCCGCCCTTGTCGTTGTTCTCTTCTCTCTAATCCTCACTGCTATTGTCCACAAACGTCGTTCTTCTAATAAAACCAAACTCCCCCCTGGTAGTTTTGGTTGGCCTGTAATAGGCGAAGCTATAGACTTCTTGTTTAGTAATCCTGAAAAGTTTGTGAGTGATAGGATGAAGAAATACTCTCCTGATATTTTCAAGACTAAAATAATGGGAGAAAAAACAGCAGTAATTTGTGGCCCTAATGGTCATAAATTCCTCTTCTCAAACGAAGAGAAACTCTTTACTGCATTTCGTACTCACTCCATGCAAAAACTTTTCCAATCCTACCAATCCAATTCTTCTTCTCCTTCTCCTTCTCCTTCTCAGTCTACTCGGGTTATGATTCGCCAACCCGGGTTTTTAAAACCCGAAGCTCTAACCAGATACTTGGGAGAAATGGATTTAATAACACAAGAGCTTTTGAAATCTCATTGGGAAGGCAAAAATGAGATTAAAACCTATCCTTTTGCTAAATTTTTGACATTAACACTTGCTTGTCGTTTCTTTCTAGGGACAAATAATTCAGAAAGGATAACGAAACTCGTGAATTATTTTGATGACATTACTTTAGGGTTACATACGATGATTTTGAATTTTCCAGGGACGGCGTTTTATCGAGCGAATAAGGCGGCGATTGCCGTTAGAAGGGAACTTATAGGTGTGATAAAAGAGAAGAAAGAAGAAATGGCAAATGGAGTGGAAATGCAAGATATATTGTGTCATATGATAGTTGTTACGGATAGTAAAGGGAAGTTTATGTCTGAGAATGAAATTGCTGATAAAATTATGGGACTATTAGTTGCTGGATATAGCACTGTTGCTACTACCATAACCTTTCTCATGAAATATGTTGGACAGAGATCTGATATCTATGAAAAGATTTTGACTGGTATGTACATCCTCTTCGTCTCACTTTTTTATTTATTTATTCATTTCTTTTCCTTTTATTTTCTTATTATTTCCACTTACCACCACCAATTATGGATAGTTGCTTATAATTATACTACTTAGTTTTTAAAAGATTTGCACAAATTCTCTTTTGCATGTAGACCTTTCTAGTGGACATGAAGTTCCAATATAATTTGGGATAGGTAAATAATCTAGGCCAAGTCTTGAATGTAGCGTGTATAAGTTTTCATGATATTTTTTTCATAGTATATGATTAGATTACCAATAAAAATCATCTGTCAAAAGGAAAGAAAAAGAAACAATTGCCTTGTTTCATAGCCAGCATAAATTGATGGTTTCTTATTAAAAGGCGGGGAATTTTTATAAGCGATGTTGAAATTTATAGAACAACCGAAATATAACTTTGATTATCACACTTTTAAATAAGAAATAGTCTTAGTCTGTTGGTTTTGTTGAGTATTAAGTTAGAAAAGGTCTTGAGTTCAATTCTACTTCATCACAATTTTTAACCATAAAGGCTCTCTCAAATATTTGCAAAAGAAATGCTAGTTGAGGTTTAAACCTTTGACCTCTTAGAGCAAAATCAAGCACATAACTAACACACCAAGATATTTATGTTAAGCAGTGTCATTTTTTCCTACTTATCCGTTTCCGTACAGTTTTAGTACATATATTTAGTAAAAAAATTCGAGTCTGAGAGAAATAAATTTAAGCTATATATTGTTAATAAATCATTTTTACATTTCAGTGAATATTAACCTATGATAACAAGTTAATTAGTTGGTACTAGATCTTATTAGGTTATGGATTAATATTTATCATAAAGGTTTATAAGTGTGACTAATTATTTATTTTATCGATTTATAAAACTTAATTAAATTCTCTTATAATACAGAGCAAAAGGAGATTGCAGGGGCGAAGAAGGCAGGAGAAGTGTTGGAATGGGAGGACATGCAAAAAATGAAGTACTCATGGAATGTGATATGTGAAACAATGAGGCTAACTCCACCTCTTCAAGGTACTTTTAGACAAGTGCTAACAGACTTCACCTATGCTGGTTACTCTATCCCCAAGGGTTGGAAGGTACTTCCATTTACTTTGATCATCTCATTATTTATTTTACATTTCTTGATAGTTTAGTTTCTACCTGGAAGGGAGTCTCATGGCAACAGTAGATTGTCTCTCTGCGATCTATAGGTCAAGGGTTCGAGCTGATAGAGTTGTCTCTGTGTGATCTGTAAGTTAGGGGTTCGAGCCGTGAAAACAGCCACTAATACTTGCAGTAGGGTAGATTATCTACATCATAGCCCTTGAGGTGCGGCCCTTTCTTGAACCCTGCGTGAATACGGGATGCTTTGTGCACCGGGCTGCTCTTTTTAGTTTAGTTTCAACTTGAAATAAAAGACTTAAATTTGAAAAATTAGTTTGGGGCATTCATGTAAAATAACGTTTTTCACTATATTTTTTTCAAGTGAAATGTATGTTTGATCACAATTTTAAAACCCATATAGGCTTTTTTAATCTCTATAGTCTATCTCAAATACTCATTTTTTCAACCGCAACCAAATACTGTCCAAATGGTTTGAAGTTTTTTTTTTTTTTTTTTTTTGAAAAAAAAAAAGTACTTGGACCGTAACCACTTGAGAATACATCTTATCTCAACCTAATAATTAATTGGTTCAAAAGTCAAAAGTTCCGTAATGATCCACTAATCTGAACATTTTGCGACGAAATTCCACCAACCTTAGCTTGTTTTTGATTACTTCATAATACACTGTATACATCCATTCAATGATCAGTTCAATGAAATGCTATCTTAAGCAGTTACACCAGAAACAAGTACATCAATCTACAAATATTTAAAAAAAAAAAAAAACTAAAAGTAATTAATTTGACATGTATAGGTTTACTGGACAGCAAGCAGCACAAACAAAAATCCTGCATATTTTCAAGACCCTGAAGAGATTGATCCATCAAGATACGAGAAACGCGACGAGCCAATTCCATACACGTACGTGCCATTTGGGGGTGGACCAAGAATGTGCCCTGGCAAAGAGTATGCTCGCCTTGCAATTTTAACTTTTCTTCACAATGTAGTAGTGAAATATAAGTGGGAATTACTAGCACCAGATGAGAAGGTTGTTGGTGATATGATGCCTACACCAGAAAAAGGACTTCCTATCCGTCTTCACCAACATTAAAAAGAAGCCATCAGCTTTTTAGATTATATTCTCTTAGCCATCAAAATATATAGGTTTTCCGATTTCAATTAATGAAATTATCATATTTTTCTTGGTTTTATTTTGATCTTGTTTTAAAGTTGTAAGTTCACTGAAGACTTGTTACTGTTATATTTGAGACGATCGGAGGTGATTGAATGAGACAATCATATTTTATTAGAGAATGTTTCAGGTTAATTAAGTTATTTGAGACGACCGGAAGTGATTGAATGAGACAATCATGTTTTATTAGAGAATGTTGCAGGTTAATTAAGTTAATGAGGATTTTTATTCTGTTATCTTTATATTCAGCAATCACTAAGAGGCACTCGCCATGTTGAGTTGTAGACCTAAGACCATCATATACAACCTAATGGGTGAAATTCACAAATACCCAGATTTACAAGTGGTAATTGAAAATAGTCACAGTTTTAAAAGTAATCGAAATTTAGCCACTTTTTATAGAAAGATAAATATGAACGAAAACACTGTTCAAAATCCGGAAAATATTCCAGCATTATATACTGGAGTTCGAATTTTTTACATTTGAACTTCCAGTATAATATCATACACAAGTGCTCCAATCTCCAGTATATTATGCTGGAACTTTCCGTGTACTGGAGTTCCAGCATAATATGTACCCGTTTGGCTTAGCTGATTTAAAATAGCCGATAAGTATCAAGTGCTGAAAAATATTTTTTAAGTGCTGAAACTGTTTTTATAAATAAGTAGTTACATGTTTGGATAAAAGTGCTGAAACTGTAAATAAGCAACCGAAATGTTTGGTAAAAAAGTGCTGATAAACTTTTATTTTTGGTAAACTGACTCAAATGCCCTTATAGCTGTAAAAGGCTTTTCAGCAAATACAAATTATTTTGTCTCAACTTACTTTTATTCTACATTAATTAGATAAAGATTATTTTAATATAAACTATTATATGATAAACTTACATATCATAGTTAATATTTCGCTAATAATAAGAAAGAATAAAATTATTTCAAGTAGACATAAAAACTTGCTTCCAACTTTCTTCTTGTTCTTGATATTCTTCCGTATGTATGACATTTCGGTCGATGTGCACAAATAGCCACTAACAGTACTTGTCTTTATTTTAAAGCCAGTGTTTTAAATGTCTTTAGTCTTTAGCCACTGGTTTAATAAACTTATACCTGACTGGACGAAAATACTCTTCTGCTTAACTTATACCTACGCTAACATTAACGAGCAGCAGCAGCGCAAAAGCACTTCACTGTGATCGTCGAAATTGAAGAAAATTCTCTTCCGATTTCAAAAATTCAACATTCTCATACAAAAATCGACATAGATTTACAGTAAGTTATACTTTTATGTGTTTCTATTGATTTTTATTTCGACATAGTTATACTCTTTCCGATTTCTATTGATTTTTATACAGTAAGTAGAAATTTGATTTTTTTTTGAATTTCTGGATTGATAAAGTTAAGGACATCGCCTCCTATGATAATTCTATAAAAATTGAGCACATAATATTAAGGACATAGTGTCCTCATTTTGCAAATTGAATTGAAAAAGTTAAGGACACAATGTCCTTAACTTTGTTGATGTTCTTCTGTATATTAAGGACATACTGTCATAGTTTTGCAAATTGTTTTGAAAAAGTAAAGGACACTAAGTCCTGAAGTTTGAGTTTCAAATTGAAAAAGTTAAGGACATTTGATCCTTAACTTACACTTATTAGTTAAAACCTGTCCTTAAGTTTGAATTACAGATTGAAAAGTTAAGGACACGAGTCCTTAAGTTTGACTTGCAGGTTCAAAAGTTAAGGACAGGAAGTCCTTAAGTTTTACTTGCAGGTTCAAAAGTTAAGGACAGGAAGTCCTTAAGTTTGAATTACAGGTTGAAAAGTTAAGGGCATGAGTCCTTAAGTTTGACTTGAAGGTTCAAAAGTTAAGGACAGACAATCCTTAAGTTTGAATTCCAAGTTCAAAAGTTAAGGACAGGCAGTCCTTAAGTTTCAATTACAGGTTCAAAAGTTAAGGATAGACAGTCCTTAACTTTGAATTTCAAGTTAAAATGTTAAGGACACTTGGTCCTTAACTTGGTCTTGAACTTACAGTACCTGTTCTTAATTATACAAGGATTGCTTTATAAAATATGTCCTGAGTTTCCCATTCTCTTGACTTGCAGGATGGAAACAATATGCATTATAGTTGCTTTTAATGGTAGATGGACTGAAGACTATAAATATCTTGATCATCAAACAAAGCTTGTTCTAGTACCTGAGTCAATTCGGTTTGAATATTTCATTAAACGGATCTTTGAGGTTATTGAATTGGATAGACACAAGTTTGAAGCAGTGATATGGTTTGATATTAACCTTGGAACAAGCAAAGGAATGCTTGTATCCAAAGATTTAGATCTTCACACATGTATAGAGTTACTAAAAACTCATTCACTCTTCAAGGGCTGTCGTTTCATTGTTGATATTTCGGAAAGAGTTTTTGGATCAACAAACAATGAACATGTCAACACAGAAACTCAACATGACAATCAAAACAAATTCCAACAAATAATGGAAATAGATATGATTGAAGAGGTGCTTCAAACACATGTCAACAGAGAAACTCAAGATGACAATCAAGACAAATGCCAACAGATAATGGAAATAGATATGGATGAAGCTCAACCAATAACTGAAGAGGTGCTTCAAACATTTGATTCTATTCAAGTAGAAGGACAAAGCATTATAGAGATTGACAATGAACAAGCTTTGGGTATTCAAGTCTTAGAGAGTGCACCGGTAATCGAAGAAGTTGCTGAAAAAACATCTACTCAACTAACTAGACGAAGATCAAATTTGAAACAAAAAGAATCCCCAACTACGATATTAAGAGAAAATGCTTCGTTGGAAGAAATAAAAGTTGGATCAGTATTTGACAAGAAGAAGAAGAGTATAATTAACTGTTTTTCCAATATAGCAATTAAAGGACATTTTGAATTCAAGGTTGTTAGATCAAGCTCAACAAGATATTCGTTGAAATGCAATGATGATAGGTGTTGTTGGTGTGTGCGTGCTTTCAGAATTAAAGATTCAACACTGTTCAAGATAGTAAAGATTGAGAAAAAGCATGACTGCTCTGTTAACACAATGAAAGCAGATCAAAGGCATGCTACTTCAAAGTTGATTAGTGCTTACATTATCGACAATCTTCGGGACCCAAGGTTTGAAGTTACACCAGCTTTTGTCATGGCAGAGATGCAAAAATTGCATGGACTAGACATTGGATATCACAAGGCGTGGCGTGCTATTCAACATGCTTCCGCTTTAATAAGAGGAACTCCCGAAGAGAATTATGAATTATTGTCTTCATACTTGTATATGATGACAAGTAAAAACCCGGGAACTTATACTAACATAAAGATAGACGACAACAACAGGTAAACAATCAAAAAAAAGTTTATTAGTACGTTTTATAAAATTTAGGAAATGTTGTCTTTAAACTTGTTAACTTTTGAGTTGTAACCAGAAGTTCAGGACTGGCTGTCTTAACTTTTGAACTTGTAATTCAAAGTTAAGGACTGCCGGTCCTTAAGTTTGAACTTTGAAATCAAAGTTAAGGACCGCATGTCCTTAACTTTATAACTTGAAACTCTAAGTTAAGGACTGACTGTCCTTAACTTTTAACCTTGTAATCTGAAGTTCAGGACTACATGTCCTTAACTTCTGTTAACCTTGTTTTATATTGTATTTTCAGGTTTCTTTATATGTTTTATGCATATGGATCATCAATAGCTGGTTGGAATCATTGTAGACCAGTGATTGTTGTTGATGCAACTTTTTTGAAGTCAAATTTCGTGGTGTTTTTAATGATCTTCAGTTTTCAAAAGGATGCACAAATAACTAAATTTTGGAAGTTCACAAATTTTTTTTCCTGGAGAAATAGGAAATTACTTCCATAATCCTAACACAAAAGGCAAAAAGGACAAATTTCAAGTATGTGTTGTTATCTTGTTTTATCTCTTGTCTTTCTCTTTTTCATTCATTCTCATTCAGGCTTTCAAAACAAACTCTTCAATGATTTTAATAGCGGTGTATAAGAAAAGAGCCTGCCATTGAAAGAGAGTAGAGTGCAATCATCGTCAAACAATATTTCATTATCTGCTCGGACATTCTTTTCTTCGCATTGCCATCAAAATAGTCAACAAAATAAATTGAATTGCCCAAACTTTCACAGAGTCATTATGCTGCCTACAAATGATGAAGTTTTGTACATGTGTGACTAGAAGAATAAATTAAACAAACAACCAACTCAATTACTATCCTTTTCTCGGGGGAATAGCTTTCGAAAGCCTATTATCTTTTGCATGTAAACCTTGTGTCAGCGAGGACATAACACTTTCAAACCAGAATTTATTAAAAGCGTACGTTGTAACTTAATTTCACGGTACAATACTTGATGTCATCGAAATTCAGGTCATATAATCAAATTTTGAAAAGCAATCATGAATATAAGTTTTACCATCAGAACTTCAAATTTGTAATTCGGAAGAAGTTGACCGAAAATACCATCCTCAACTTCTTCCACTGAACGTGTTTGACAAAAATTTTAATTTGTTCCTTTATACTGTAATATCTATTTCCAGGATACATACCATAAAATTACCTCAATATCAACTTGAACACACGAATTCCTTCATTATCACAATACAAAGAAGACGAAAAGAAAACAAGATAGATATCAGTAGTTTGGAGGGACTTGGTCCTTAACTTACAAGTTTCCACGTAAAAAAGTTAAGGACAGCAGTCCTTACTTAAACGTGTATAAGTTGAAAAATTAAGGACAATAGAGTCCTGAACTTCAAATTTTGAGTTCAAAAGTTAGGAACTTGGGTCCTTAACTTCAAGTTTCAAGTTTAAAGTTAAGGACATGTGAGTCCTTATTCTTGAATTCCAAGTCAAAAGTAAAGAACTTAAGTATTAATTAGAGTTACAATGTTAAAATCGGTAAGAATCAGGCAGGCCTTAACTTTAATAGTTTCAAGTCAAAAAGTAAGGCAGTTGGTTTATCTTCAAGTTTCAAGTTAAAAAGTTTAAGGACAGACTAGTCCTTAACTTATAGTTTTCAAGTTGAAAAGTTAAGGACACTGGTCTGAACTTCAACTTTCACGTTTCAAAGTTAAGGAACTTGGTCCTTAACTTCA